AACACACACACACACACACACACACACACACATTTACCATAAAACTAACACATGAGGTGGAAGTGCACAAATATTTTAATAGAGACTATGCTGACCTTGAAGACTGATAGGGAGAGTGATTTTGTCTTTAGCAAGTGGGCCAACAGAGAAACCAGGTTGGAGAAAGTAGTGGTTGACAGGTTTCCCAAATCTCGGATTTTGTCCCATATACTGAACTGGAATGTCATCTAGGTGTCAGAACAAAAACAAATACAAAATAAAAATTGAAGTCCAAGTCAAATAATTAATATGTAATATCACAACAGGCTCTCAAAGCCACCTTGGCACCTTTTCCATTCAGCTACTAAGTACAAAACACATTATTACGCTTATTTAATAAGGTTGTTTGATCATTTACAAAGCATTGGAAGCCAAAATGAAAGAGATGTTACTTACCTTGTATAGTAACTGGAGTACTTTGAGATGTGTATCCTTCTGGGTCCTCTACTGGGGGTGCGCACTTGCCTTCCATTGGAGATTTTCGGCAGCAGCGCCCTCTCAGTTTGCACATGCATGCTATGCATTCTCATGCTTCACACCAAGGATATACAGGGCTGCATGGGCAAACTGCCCTCAATTCCTTCTGCACCTCAAAGCCCCAAGAAGATCAGATGGAGGGTGGGTTGTGGAGCACTGACAGGGCCAAACATCTTGAACTCCAGGTATTGTACAAGGAAGTAACCTCTCATTCTTCTTTGAGTAGTGTCCCTACGGGTGCTCTTTGTGAGGTGACTCATTAGTAGTACCCCTAAAGGAGGTGGGGGCTTCAAAACTCAGTCTAAGGCTGTGTGCAGGACTGCAGAGCCAAAGGGAGCACCTGCTCAGGAAGGCTTAGTGTCTGGAGAAAGTGTGAATCAAAGCCCATGTATTAGCCTTGCTTTTTTCCATTAACAGACATCCTTTAACAGGGCCAGGCACAGTACGATCTCATGGAAGGGGCAGGGTACATTAGTCACATAACAGGAGAGTATGCAACCAGAAACCCACTTAGAAAGCCTTTGGCTAGTCACTGGAACCTCTTTAGTTCTGTCCACCATGAAAACAACCAATCTCAGGGAGGTCACAGAGGTCTAGTCCTGTGCTGATAATAATCCAACGCTCTCCTGATAGCTAAGTTATGAAGGACAGCTTCCTGTTTTGACTGATGAGGCTTGGGGTAGAATACCAGGAGATAAATAATAGATTGATATGAAAATCTGAAGTAACCTTGGATAAAAAAGGTGGAGGTGGTTGAAGAGAAAAATTTTATCTTTGAAAAAGACAGCATAAGGAGAGTCAGACATTATAGCTCCCAATTCTGCAACCCTTCAGGCAGAGGTAATAGTCACTAGGAATGCAGTTTTCATGGAGAGGCTCATAAGTGAGCAAGTTAACAGTTAAAAGGGTGGCTTCTTCAAAGCTCTGAGAACTAAATTGAAAGTCCCAAGTGGGAATAGGGTGTCTAACATTAGGGAAGAGGTTTTACAGACCCTTTATATATCTCAACGTTACAAGGGGAGCAAATACTTATAAACCTTTTACTGGAGAATGGAATGCTGTGATGGCAGCTTGGTGAACTTTAACGGAACTGTGCTTTCTTCAAAGTAAGTAAGTATTCTAACACCTCGGAGATGGGAAGAGTCAATAGGAGACAAACTATGGTGAGTATGCTAGTGGTAAAACCTTTTCCATTTCTGAAGACAAGTCTTTCTGGTAGAATCTTTTCTACCGTTCAGCAGAACCTCCTGAACGGCTGTGGAGCAAGATTTTGCTAGCATGAGAACCATCAGGTGCTAGGCCTTGAGCTGCAATGTATTCAGATTGGACTAAGGACATTCCCGGAGTCCTGTGTGAGAAGACTGGGTGTCAGTGGAAGATTAATGGCCAGTCAAAAGGAAAGATTTGCCAGGTTAGTGCAATCAAGATGACCGTGGCTTTGTCCTACTTGACTTTGTTTAGGACCCTGTGGATCAGCGAGCGTGGGGGAAATATGTATAGGAGATTCTTCGCCCAGGAGATGAGAAAAGCATTCCACCAGAGAAGTGGCAACCCAAGCCTACCATTGAACAGATATGTGTGCATTTCCAATCAGCTGTGGTGACAAAAAGATCTGTTTTTGGATATCCCCAGGTTAAAAATTGTTTGAGTACAGATTTGTTTAATTCTCAGTCATCGATTTTGAGCGAAGCGCCCGCTGAAGCTGTTGGCTATGGTGTTTTGGAGACTGGGTAGGTAGACTGCTGAAATCAGGATACCATGGGCTATGCACCAGTCATGGCCTCTGCAGAGAGGGAAAGGGCTCTCGCTACCTCTTGCCAATTTATATAATACATACTGGCCTTATTTTCTGTTGTTATGTGAAATGATTGTCCTTGAATCACGCATAGGAAGTGCAGACAGGCATGTCTGACAGCTCTGTGTTCCAGAACATTGATGTGTAAGGTGGACTCTTGGACAGACCATCTGCCCTGGAAATTTTGGTCCTGAAGATGAGCTCCCCATCTGAGGAGGGACATGTCAGAAACTAAAATGTCAGTGGGTGGAGGGTGGTTGAAGGGGACCCTTGAGAATATGCTTTGTCTGGATTCTTTCACCATTCGAGGGAAACTAGAATATGACAGGGGATAAAAAGCAGTTTGTTTAGAATGTCCCTGTCGGGTGTATAAACTGACCTGAACCAGGCTTGGAAGCAATGCAGGTGCAGCTGAGCATGAAGCATGAGAAAGGGTACACTCTGCCATGTGCCCAAGAAGTTGCAGGCATGATCTGGCAGTGACTTGAGGACTGATCTGAACTTGCCCAATCAGATGTGACAGAGCAAGAAACCTCTGGCAGATAACCTCTGGCTGTGGTGGCATCTAGAATGGCCCCTAAAAACTCTATCCTTTTTGCAGGTAGGACAACACAAATGTGAGCGGGAGACTGAGACTGACCACTCCTAATTAGACACTGGTGTAAGAATGTCCCTTGAGGAGCCAGTTGTGGAGGTAAAGGAAAACAATTAACTTCCCCTGATGAAGTTATGCAACTGCCACAACTTTTGTGAACACTCTGGGAACAGTGGCTAACTCAAAGGGAAGGACCCAATAATTGGTAATGGTCCTGCCCCACCAAGAAGAATAGAAATTTCTTGTGAGAAGGGTGTACTGTGATATGAAAATGCACATCCTGAAGGTCAAGGGTTGTAAAGTAGTAGATCTAGAGGAAGAACAATGTCACTATCTTGAATTTCTGTACCTTGACAAAGGTATTCAGCATCCATAGATGTAGAATTGGTCTCCATCCACCCTTCTTTTTTGAGAACCAAAAAGTATTTGGAATAAAGCTCTCTTGTGTTAAGTGGGAACCAGATCCACTGCTCCGAAATGGAATACCTCGTTTCAGAACAGATTAATCAGATGGAGTAGAACTGAATGGAGTACATCAAAATTATAACCTCCAAGGCACATCTGTTGGAGATAATCTGCATGCATGAGGTGTGAATATGGGAGAGAGGATCACCAAAAGGTAGAAAATTGAGTGAAGTAAGATGGTGCAGCAGCAGGTCTGGATCAGAGGAATGTTCATGGCTCTCAACTGAGGAGTCAAAAGGAACGTTTGGCCATCGTCAGCTGCTGATCAAAGTTGCTGTAGTAGTTGAAAATTTTCCTTTTTGAAATGTGGGTTTTTTTCTAGGTGGCTCTGGTGGTCTGTGGAAAATGGAGAATTGGGAAGGGCATGATCTCTGTGCCATCTGAGATTGACTAAACCTCTTTTTATTCGCAGGCGTATATATGCCCCATGAATGAAGGATCACTCTGGAGTCCTTCAAAGCATGCAGCAAATCATACATAGTGTCACTGAATAACTTTAGACCAGCAAAAGCGAGGTCCTCTGCTGTGTTCTGGACTTCAGTCCTCAGATTTCCCTGTGAAGCCATGATGCCCTGTGTCATAGATCCACAGGATCTGTGCTATGTCCAAGCTTTTAAATAGTCCTGTAGAGGAACTCCTTCACTGTGCCAGATGCCCAAGAGGTCCCATTCTTCCTTACAGGTAGACCACCCAGCCTCAATGCATCCAAGACAGCCTCTGGGATCCAGCACACCTGCTTCACACTGTAAGCTCTGCCCAGCAAGTCCACCTGAGATAAATTCCTACATCTAAGACTTTTACACTCTTCAGGGACCTATGCACCTCAGCAAGTATTTGCAGTGACACCAGGGAGCCTTTTCAAAACAGAGAGGGATTTATTAGCTAATTGAACAGAGACTATAGAGAAGATCTTATATTAGCATAGAGCAGTGGTTCTCAATTAGTGGCCCAATTAGCACACAGCTGCAGCCTAGTTGTGTGCTTTAAAAAAAAAATTCAAAATGTGCAGCTCTGGTCTGGCAGGGGGTGGGGCTGGGGCTGGGGCTGGCTAAGGGAGAGACAGCGTGTGACAGCCCTGCTGGAGTGCTTCTGCCAGCAAGGGGCTGGTGAGTGCCACAGGGGGACAAGGTGCGGGAGAGAGGGTCTCTGGGGAAGTTTGGGGGGCTCTATGCAGTGAGGAGCACTGGGCAGCATAGGCACAGGATTAGGGGTTTGCCTGGATGCTGCAGCACCCCCATATTTTATGTGGGGCTCTGCTCCTGGCCCCATGCCTGGGGTCCTGGCTGCCTGGCCCTGCACTCACGGCTCCGCTCCTGGCCCTGCTCTGGGAAGGGGGC